GGGGGGGGGGGGAAGACGACGACGGTGCCTGCAAATTTGATTGCGGCGCGTGCGGCACCGTCGAACGATCTAGTGGAACGCGATGGGGGGGGGGGGGGGGGGCGAACGCACGCCGAGCGCGCAATGATCACCTTACACAAGCAGAGCCGGTGTTGGTTTACGGAGTGTCTGTCCGCTGGACACGTCGCCGCTCACATTAGCGGCACTTTACCCGCGCCGCGCGCAGCGACCGCAGCGCTGGGTAATTCCTACGTCGCTGCAACGCACCGGGGCCGCAGCCCTCGGTGTAACGGTTAGCGCAGCGGACTTGCAATGCGGAGGTCACCGCTTCGATTAAACCTCCTCGTCGTGCAGCAGGTGACACGATGGTGTGAGTTGCTTGAATCCCCCCCCCCCCCCCCCCCCCCCATCGCTGGCCACCCAGCAGTATAGACACAAGAACACGGCACGGCAGGTCGGGGTTTGTGGTGGTGCAGAGTGCGGGGTGTTTGCGTCTAGCCAGCGTAGAAGAGTTGGCCAAACACCCTCTAGAGGGGGGGCTCTCCAGAGCTCCGTCTCGCGGCGACCCTTCCACGAGCACGTGGTGCGAGCCGGGAATTGCGGTGCTGCGCCTTTGCCCTCGCGCTTCTTCCGCTCGCAGTGTCGCAGTCGTTACTGTCGCGCTTGGATATGTTCACGCGCGTTTTTGTTTGTTTGTTTCGGCTCTGGTGAGCAGCGGTGGCTGCTGTGGTGTCTGCTTTTGTGTCGAGCCTGCGGCGTGGTTACTATTCCGTGCTCCCAGGGGAGGTTCTCTCCCGTCGTCTCGAACTCGCCACTGTCAGGCGTGCGACGACGCCGCTCCCGCTGCGTTGCGAATACAAATCTGTGGTCAGCGTCTTCGGGACCAACCAAACGTTTCATTTTATTTTAAATAAGTTGCGTGCGTTAGCTTGCTTTTGAAGACTCTTTTCGTGCAATGATTGACTTTAAGTCGTGGACTGTGTTCTGCTTCGTAGAGCATTAATCGCGTGTAAAGTAAGATGATTAGGATGAAAAATGCCACTGCTCCATAATTCCATGCGCGCATCTCTCAATGCGCATAAACATCACAGAGACATGCATGCTTGGGATTACACTGGGAGACAGAAAGAGGAACGCATGGATTAACGAACATGTGCAGCTTAACGACATTATCCAAAATGTTAAGAAAATAAAGTGGACTTGGGTACAACACACGGCTAGAAGTGATGACGGCCGATTGGCCAAGATTAATAAAGGAGGGGCAGTCAAGGAATGGAACGTCTCCAAAGAGGAATGTTCCACCCAGGAGATGGAGCGATGAAATTGGTCGTGTGCAGACACTCGATGACTTCTCGCATTGCGATCGTGAGAGATGGCGGGGACTTGGAGAGGTCTTCATCCAGCAGTAGATTGTCTATGGCTTATTATTATTATTCGTTTAATAGATGCATCGTTCAACGCATGCATAGTAGGTGGTCATGAACAGCACTTTTCCTACCAGTTCAAGGATAAATGAGATATATTTGTTTTTGTTACATACAAATGGACATCTTATCATTCACGACTAACAGTATCCGAGTAATAATGTAATAGCAACTGCTGGCATACACTGCTGTTGATTCTGCCAGAAATTAGGATGTGCTTTTAAAAGTCGTGTAATGTTCTCCGTTGTAAACTTTGCCGCCATTAAAAGATCTAATTACAACAACAAGCTTGTTATATGTGAATTAAGCACGCTTTATCAGCTGCACAGTAAACCAATATGATGTTCGTATTGTTTTCCCTCGGCTCCCTTCCACGGGACTGTCGCACGAGTGTTTCGTGATTCATTCTAAAAAACGAAATGTGGACAGCGGCGGTGGGATGGCGTGGAGTTGCCAGCGAGACGGATTAAGTTGCGTGTATTTGGTTTGGTCCAGGGGTAGAGAAAATACAGCCCCCAGATCACGCGTCCCGACTTGATATGTGGCCCACCAACAACATGAGGACTACGAAACTTCGAAACAGGCCCCAAGCAACATCTGTCCGTCACGACACGCATCCTAGCTGCACTAATCGGATGCGAGAGGGGCAATACGTTTGACCTGGTAACATTGCCGTTCTAATTGTAGTGTGCTCCGTCACTTTGGTTACCGACAGGTCCTCTTGCAGTGACGGATGTGACTGAGGTGCGAGTGTGTTCACGTGTGGTTGCCCACCAACGCTATTTGAATGGCATATTTAGCTCGAAATAAGGAAGAGGTTAGATTTGAAGCTTTCGTGACTGCAAGGATTCATATTCTTAGGTTGTTTCGGTAAAGTCACGTAGGTAAAAAATTTTAATTAATAAAAGTAAAATAAAAATAAAATAAAAATCACGACGTTTCGGAGGCAACACAACCCTCCGTCTTCAGGTGGAACCGTCACAGCACGATAGCTGTATCAAGTGAGAGTATGGATTCCTGCAGTTGATACAGCTATCGTGCTGTGGCGGTTCACTTGATACAGCTATCGTGCTGTGACGGTTCCACCTGAAGACGGAGGGTTGTGTTGCCTCCGAAACGTCGTGATTTTTATTTTTATTTTACTTTTATTAATTTGATTTTTTTTACCTACGTGACTTTACCGACAAAACCTAAGAATAAGGAAGAGGTTCCCTAACCCCTGGTTCGGCTAAAATGAAGGGAGAATGCCACATCTTGTGAAGGTTATCTGGTGTGTAGTGAACAACGTTATTCAGAAAAGTCAAATTCGGATCTCACTCACTTGAGAATGAGGTGACACTCACCTCCTGTTGATGGCCCTAAGCCAGTTGTGCAAATTGCACATTAATATGGCAGGGGCAGGTCGTTCTATAGCATCACCAATGTTGGCTTCCCTCGAAAGTGGCTCACCGAGATTTGAACTCGTAACATTCTGATTGCTAGCCGCTCCGTGCTCTAAGCACTGCGCCATTATTGCTCGCAGCTCAAATGTGAGATAGCATCAGCATTCGGAAGCATTTATCTGGGCTGCCCTGCGCGATGCCGCGATGCACATTCTGCAATCTCTCTCCAGATGGGCAGACGCACAGCCTCGATGACCAGCGACGGTGCCCGTGCATCGTACACGCACGAGCTCCCCAGTGTCTTGTTAACTCGCGCTGCTGCGGCGCCGCTCACAATGCCAAAATGATGGCTTTCGGACGAGCCTCATCGCAACGCCACGGCTACAGATAATTGCAACGACCAGGGTCCCGTTCGCCTGAGGCCGCCGCAACAAAATCCCTCTCATTGCTTTCGCAATCCTCCCTGGCCTCGCTCCGTTCACCTCTCTGATCTAATTTTTATCCTCAGCCTCCCCCGCCCGCCCATCATGTTTCTTCTGCTATTCTCTCTCTCTCTCTGCCTCCCTTCACTCTCTGCAGTTTGCGTGACGGATGAAAGATCCTATGCTCGTGCAGACTGGAAATGGCATTGCGCCACCCTCGCCACCAATTGCTGCACCGTTTAAATGCACATTGCAGTGCATGTCTCTTCTCAAATGCATGTAAATGAGCTCTATAAACCTCACAATTATCCCGGCTACCGTGCATGCGATACGTACGGACGTTGGCATTCATACCGTATCGTCGTATACATTCTGAAATCTCATCTGAATGATGGAATGCTACTTCACGAATATACAATATTCGGCGGCACCTTTACATTTTAGCTTTCATATGATTGGGAACATGCTGGAGATGACGTCTGTCGTGGAGATGGAGCGATGAAATTAGCTCGTGTGCAGGAGCTACATGGATTCTTCCAACGGCTTGAGAAACCTTTCTCCAGCGGTGGATAGATCTTGGTTAATGATGATGAAACCTAAATACGTTATTTGTAATTTTTAGCACTATGGCGAATGCCTTTATGATATGTGTCAAACATCCACAACTCAGTGCCTCTTCTTTTATTATATAAAAAAAAACCATCATCGTTTAATAAGAGAAAATATTTTGCTCTTACTGCATATCCCATCATCATAAGCCATGATCTATCCACTACTGGACGAAGGTCTCCGCAAGTTGCCACCATCCCCTCATGTGTTCTCGATGCAGCAATCGATCTAGCTCCTGCACATCATGAGCTGATTCTTGTCATTCCATCTCTGCTGTGGTCGCCCTCTTGAGCGTGCTCCCACCCATCATGTCACAACATAAACCGCAAAGCGCAAAAGGTTTGTGTATGCCCGCCTTGTTTACCTGTCCGTTTTATCAGCTCATCCATCCATCTATCTGTGCGTCAATATACAGCAGCCCATCTGTCTTGTGAGTGTTTATGTAGTTAAGTATGGTTTGGATGTCAGACACTGCGTCACCCTCGATGACAGCTCATTGACTGAAACCATTAATAATCCATTGGTTTCCATGTCTGGCCGAAGAGGCTTCATCTCTGGTTTTGTAGTTAACTCTGGTCTCTGTCTCGTCACATGCTTAAACATCACACGCGTGTGCTTCCTCTGATTTGTGTCACCCTTTTATTACTGACTCAACAGACCGAGTAATTTGACGCATGCTTTTGTTATTCCTTATTAGTTCCCATCATTTTCTATCACTAGTGGGCAGTGCACCTTTCACATACAATCCCACGCAGAGCGCTCACCATGACAGCTTATTGCGATTACAGACATTAAATTACAAAAAAATGGAATAACTAACAAAGGATTAGACATCATTAAGTGCTTTAGAAGTAGAGATGATGACACAGTGTGCTGATGATGATAGTAATGCTGATGTTAAAGCTGATAATCTGCTCCTGCTGATGATGATGGTAGGATGATAACAATTATAATGGCAGCCGTTATAATACTGATTATGGTGACGAGGGTAATTCTGATATTAATTCTGATTAATATGATGATCCATAATAGAGGGTTTTTTGGGTTAAATGATGATGATGATGAAAATGAGGACAATGATGACAACAACGATGATGATGACGATGCTAATGACTATGCCGATGTTTGGAACGATGATGCTGATGACAATGATTGCCCCGTAGGTTCCCAGTTCTGGTGCCTGCTGGACATCGTGCCCATCCGCAATGAGAAGCGAGAGGTAGTGCTTTTCCTCGCCTCCTTCAAGGACATCTCGGACACCAAGCGAGGGCCGGCGCAGGATGGCGTCAAGGAGGCCGGTGCGTATCTCTCGCGAACTGCACAGCTGCCGCATATGATTTCACCTTACACGTGTAAGCAGTGCATATGCAAATCTGTCAACCCCTTATCAGTGTCCTACCTTGTTACAGACCAATTCAGAGCTTATTGGTCACCGCGTGCCCCGTATAACTCTCAACGTTCATCCTACAATATCCCATCACAAGGGAAAAACACAAACAAATAGATTAAAAAAAAACAAAGATTGCCCTACTGAAACAGCTGAACACTCAATTTCCCTGTACAGGAATATAGGTAAACCGTGTGGGTTGACATTCGGTTTACCCACACACATACAGTGGGAAGCGGTAGCGTAGTGGTTAGCGCACTGCGCTACGAACCGGGCAACCCGAGTTTGATTCCCGCTCACGGCCAACACCGGTGACGATTATCTGAAACGGTCCTGGGCATCCCTTAGGTCGACTCAGCCTCAAATGAGTACCTGGTGCGGTGTGTAAACATCGCCACTCGGGACCTAGGCGTGGTTATGGTCACCCACCCCCTCGTGTGCCGTGCCGGCCTTCAAAGGTGCTCGCTAACAGCACTTGCCCCAACAGTCTGTGAGGCTATACGGGTATATTTGTATTATATACACATTGCAGGGAGCGATCGCGTAGCAGTTAGTGCGCTGTGCTACGAACCCGGCGACCCGAGTTCGATTCCCGCTCAACGGTGACGATTTTCTGAACCGGTCCTGGGCCTCCCCTAGGTCTACTCAGCCTCAAATGAGTGCCTGGTGCGTTGTGCAAACCCCACTGGGGAGACAAAGGCGGCTGGGCATGGTGCTGGCCACCCACCCCCGATGAGTGAGTGCCAGTTAACTTGCACCGGTGTCTCAAATGTTGCGCCGGGAGAGCGGATCGAACCGGCAACCTCTGGACCACGAGTCCAGTGGTGCACTGGCCGTCACGCAACGGCAGTGTCCCCCATCGTGACAAAGGACTTGACAGGGAGCTGTACAAGAAAGTAATACATTATTCATGCTACGTTTTCACTAATTAAGCTGCCTTTGTCGGAGACGTCAACGTGGGTGGCTCGTGACAGACGCTCTCACTGACCGGGTCGTGTCCCCCCGCCCCCACGCCGGCCGACCCCCCCAGCAGAGGAGAGACCGCGGCAAAAGGGGCAGACTGGCTCCGGTTTCAACACGAGCCGACGACGCAGCCGCGCCGTGCTCTACCACCTGTCGGGGCACCTGCAGCGGCAGGACAACAGCAAACTGAAGCTCAAAAACGTGAGAGCACTCGCCCGTGCAGAGTGGTTGGGGGGTTATGAGTTCACAACAAGCTGGCGCTTGTCCCTCCACCTGTGTTAATCATCCAATCTGTGGCCGTCTGGAACGCCCTTCGTTCCGATATTAGGAAGCCACTGGAGTTACGCAACTTCTAAATCTAGATTGAAAAATAATTTCTCGAGAGCTGCTTTTTGTGTTTAGTTTGTTGTCCTTCCCCCGTACCTCAGATACGCACGGTTGGCTATGTACGGTGTGAAAGAAATTCAACATACATACATGCAATGATCACGGAGTGAATTCTCGCGGCCAGGGTGTGAATTGCACTACGATCCCAGTGTCCATGAGCACGATGTGAAACGCCAGTGGTAGTTTTTTTTACGTGAATTTGATGAACATATCTTCGACGTTCACTCTATTAATGCAGCCTAAAACAATATCCAGATGCGATCAGCATTGGTCTTGGTGAGATAAATGGGTTGAGCATTATGTTGGTGTGCCGCTGTCTGTCCACCATCATCATCATTTTATTCAGTCATCATACTGTGCTTTGCACAATTCAAAACTTGTCCTAAAGGGCAACATGACAAAAACAAACAGGCGAGAGAGTGAACCAGTAAAATAAAAAAAAATAACATTTGTATGTGGGAACTCCCCCCCCCCCCACCAAAAGACACATTTGCCAATATACAAACACACTTTTATGGCAGACCGCCAATAATAACAATAACAACAACAACCAGGGCTTCATTACCCACTGCCATAGTTTGCAGCTCACTCGTCGACTAAATGAGGCCACGTGATTGAAATCCACAGCCATGGCAAGAGATACACTGGACACGGTGTACTGCGTGCAGTTATATATTTCTGGGTCACTGCGAAATTCAACCCTTGTAATAACAACAACAACAACAGCATTAACAGCCACGGTCCACGTGTCAACCTTGCCGTGCGTATGCGCGCGCGTGTGCCCACCACCACGTGCAGAACGTCTTTGGTCCGGAGAAGTCGGCGCTGCCCGAGTACAAGGTGGCAGCGGCGCAGCGCTCGCGCTTTATCCTGCTGCACTACGGCACGTTCAAGGCCGGCTGGGACTGGCTCATCCTGCTGGCAACCTTCTACGTGGCCGTGACGGTGCCCTACAACGTGTGCTTCCTGAACTCGGATGAACAGTGCAAGTCGTCGCGCAGCACCATGGTCAGCGACATCACCAGCGAGATCCTCTTCATCATCGGTCAGCCTCCCCGCACGTCACGTTGCCCTCCTGCCACCGTCCCCCCCCCCCCCCCCCCCCCGCTGCTCCCAGAGGGCTCCGTGTCACGCCGCGTTGATAAGAGTCCACCACTCGCCTTCTTTTCAATGCAGTCAATTCCTATCTGTTCGCTTAATGGTAAGAGTCCATTTGACTCTAGCGCTGTCAGCTAACATGTTGCTGCAGCGGTGGCATTCATTCGTTCTCGTCAAAGCAAGGTGCCACTCGCCCAGATCTCGTGACACTTTGCGCGAACGAGTTCTCGAGTACACCCGTAGCCAAGTGGGTGAGCTGTCAATCGATGCGGGGTTTTGGCAATTTGACGGCAACTGCGACAGTGTTAATATGTCTCCTTAGGCGGACGCTGCTCCGCAGTCATTTGCATCAATGTCAATGGCAGGATTTTATCTCTTCCTTTTGTTGCAAGAGTGCAAGTTCACAAAGACGTTTCCTAAAATGTAATGTAATAAATGTAAATTCTTGGGCATTTGTAGCACTCGGAGATAGGGTTTTTGAATACAGCAATGCATATCCGTCCTGGCTGTTATGAGCACTGCATCTAAAATTCAGCATGCGTTCAGTATCATTCTCAAGGCAGTGAAGAGATTGACTACTGCTGGTACGCAGATATATGTTGCCATTTACTACTGGAGCAATTACACGAGCTGATGGGTAAGTGTAGACATTTATCACTCTGAGTTTTCGGTAAGCACCAACCACTCCATTTCGATGACATTCATGGTGCCGTGAGATTGCAGCTCTCACTCCTGCTGAGCAGTGAGAGTGACTGCGTGGTTAAGGCATGGAAGGAAGGGCGAGCATGTGGGCCGTTAGATAGGAAAATAATAACCTAACTACACAATTACTTTTTTTATTTGACCAGGTAAGGCCCACTGAGCTATATAGCTCTTTTTTTCAGAAGCGACCTGGACACAAATCATAGCTCAACGAAGCAGCCAAATACCCTAAACGCATGTTTCTAAATATGGAGGGGAAAACCAGAGGGCCCAGAGAAAAATCTACGCAACAACGGGGAGAACATGCAAACTCCATATATACAGGTGTCAGGGTCGGGATCGAACCCACGACCTCCTGCATACTAGGTGAGGGAATTAAAATCTCGCCACAGTGGCAACCCAATGAGTGTAGGTGATGACAGACAAAACTCGCGGGCAGCGTTAAGAACTGCAACCGTCTTATTTACATCTCGTTTTTATTTCTTTGTTTTCTTCCCCTTTCCCCATCTGGCTGCCAGCGATTTTCTTCACGTCAAAATCGCCGCCACAATTCTGTGTTTGCACGGCAATTGCTCGAGTGGTGCGCAAAGCAAATGTACCCAAAAGCCTCGGTGCTGCATAAAACCGCATCGGAAATCACGTGATCGCCCAATGGCCCCCGTTCCCGTCGCGCGCGCGCTCGTTCACGTGTGCCGCCGCTGTGGCACGCACGCCGCGGGGCGGGATGTCGTCGGCCGGTGGTGGAGGGTGGCGAACACCGACGGTAATCCTGTCTCCTTGTCTGAGCGCGCAGACATCGTCCTGAACTTCCGCACGACGTATGTGAGTGGCTCGGGCCAGGTGGTGTACGATGGGCGCTCCATCTGCCTGCACTACGTCACAACGTGGTTCCCCATCGACCTCATCGCCGCCCTGCCGTTCGACCTCCTGTGCGCGTTCAAAATCGCCGTGGTAAGGGCGCCCGGCGGTTTGTGTGATGGGTTCAGGGATCAGTGAGCGAGGTGATGGAGGTGATCTGTAATCACTTGAAACTAGAAAGTAAAATATAACACCACACAGCTTTAAAGTCAGGTATCCATGCGGCCTCATTCAAACCCCACAGACTCAACACTAACCCAAAGTCTTAACACTAACCCACAGAATCAGAATCAGTATTTATACCGGAGGAATCCGATGGGCTATAAATATCTTTTTCGCAGATGTCCAGTCGGGGCAGGTAATAATGTTACAACAACAAACAATACAACAAACATTATCGTAGTGCAACGTACAAGAAAGGTGACCAAATCGCCCAAAACATACAAATGAAACTAAACCACCCCTATCCTGTCAGGCAAATCCCACTGAGGTATGAACTTCTTTTTCAGAATGGACCTGGACACAAATAATATCTCAACAAAGTGGCTTACCATTTGGACATTTATACCAGCAAATTCAGGTAAATAATCTCAATGCATGTTTCTAAATGAAGAAGGGATAAGAGGACCCAAAGAAAAAAATCCACGTGACCACGGGGAGAGCATGCAAACTCAAAATAGACAGGCGTCAGGGTCGGGACCGAACCCCAACCTCCATACGACCCTCAACACTAACCCACAGCCTGAACACTAACCCACAGACGTAACACCAATATACAGCCTCAACATCAATCCACAGCCTCAACACCAAGCCACAGACTCAACACCAACCCACGGCATCAATGCTAACTCAAAGCCTTGGCACCAACATACAGCCTCAACATTTTAAATTACAGCTTCAATACCAATCTACAGCCTCAACTCTAAAACCACAGCCCCCAACACGAACCAACAGTGTATGTGCAATGTAAACACACACAAAAATAGCCATAACTGAAAATATGATTAGCTAACAACCAAGAGTAGATGTGAGCAGTCTACTAAATACTCGTTTGACACCAAACTCTAAGCTGCTGGCCGACCGAACCACTGGTGCATGGCCTCACACTTCCTCCGACCCTACCCTGAACCCCAACTCCGAAGCTTCCCATGGGGCACTGGGGAAGCCTCGACAATTTTCTGACCATTTTCAGCCAGAGGGAATTGGCTTCGTGGCATAGGGCCACGATATATATATATATATACACAAATATTTAATCCGCTTCGAAGATCATCCTAAACCAAGTTGGGTTAAAAGTTTATTCATAGCAGCTATCTGGTGCAGAGATTTAACGTGCCACTCCCATACAAGACTTCTCATTTGTTTGAGGCCTTTGTGTTAACGTGATTTAAAAAAATTACGTTTTATATAGTATAAATATACACACAGTATGTAATTACATTACTCATGAAATTTGGTTAGAATTACCAAGCAAATGATACATCTTTACTATTTTTAGGCAGTTTGTGTAGAAATAGCAAGTAGACGTTAATTTGCGCGAATTATATAACCCACGCACGGTGATCGCTTGAGCCTTTTTAAACAGACTGCGTTTTCGCCATTCTATTCAAGCAAACGAACACGTTTATAATGAGCAGTCTGTAGCCAGACGTAATGTCTGGGGGACAAAAAGATCACGCTCAGCGTCGCTTTCGTTTCATTGCCACTTGTATCCTTTGCGTTTTTGCGACGTTTCAATGTCCAGCAGCGAGGTGCCACAACACTGCTTTTGTTGCATTCAGCCACCGAATACTAATGGAGTGGGGGTGAGGGAGGTTATTGTTTGATACAACTCAACCGGTGCTGATATAAAAACAATAATGATATACAATAATGTACAGCCCTGTGTCCATCCACTGCTGGATGGAACGCGTCTCCATGCCGTGTGGATCGCGGGAGTTGTGTGACCATTCTTCACCAAGCTGCCCGGTTTGGGTTCCTGTCTGGGTGGGGCATATGCCTGGGATCGGTTCAGACCTCGTCCCGCCACTGATGTTAACCGTGGCCAGCAATCAGTCACTAAAACTCAGGCGTGGTACGATTCGAAGGTAGATTTTTTTTTACCTGGGTGGGGGGTTTTGTGACAAGCGCCACCATGATGTTAGGCCGTAAGTTGTAACAGGGTTTCCAATGCAAATGATCACTGCCATCATTCTCATAGTCGTCATCATTAAAATACAACGTTGGACTGAGGATGGCATTCGAATGGCATGTTTTAAGTCACAGTTCCAATAAACAATGCCATTCACACTTTTGATTTGTAAAACATCGACAATGGATAGTTTGTCTCACCAAGGCTGTTCGACCACCAGTGCCCCTTACACAAACGTGTGCATGTGCATATTCATTTACGTACGCATCTCTATGCTCGCACAACACACTGCATGGGAACGTGTATGAACTCCATTTTTATGCAGGATCTGTGCATGACAGCCTCTTGCTGATAAGTCCTATTGATTTTGTTTGGTTAGATTCTTGATATTGTCAATCCCTTGTCTGCTGAGATCAATGACGCTTTTTCTTAGAACACACTGGGATGAACACCAACACATTTTCCCACACTAGACAATGCTGTTATTGTAGGGGGGGGGGGGGGCTGGAATAATTTCGACAAGGCTTTAGAGGCAGGTCATGCCGAACCATCGACAACACCCGGTGAGAAGTGCACAAAAGGAACAGTTACTGCGTTACAACAACAAAAACCCCCGAAAGACATAATCGGGCCAGTATTTTTGTCAAGTAGGCATTGGAACAATGGTCTCCATGAGTCCGGTGGCCAATGGGGGATGCTGTTGAGGTCAGATTTTGAAGGCCGTGCCTCTACACGATGCAGCGGCCACGGATCTGGTTTGAGGGTAGAGAGAACTGGCGAGGCGTGGTAGCATCAATGGCTTTGGCCGCGATGAAACTTCGCTTGATTGGTCAGGCAGAATCAAAGAGAGGCAGACCTTATTACATCCATCATACATAGAGGGGGGGGGGGGGGTTGGGGGTTAGATCGCGTAAATATATAAATGTGTCGTTAAAACCCGCCACCACCCGACACAGCCAACTATTAAGGGTTGTCACGTAAACAGAACATGCCAATTCGTCACTAGTACAGCACACCGGTGTGTTGGAGAGCCATGTTCTGTTTACGTGACAACCATTACTAGTTGGCTGTGTCGGGTGGTGGCGGGTTTTAACGACACATTTTTATGTTTACGCGATCTAACCCAAGAAACCTCTATTATGGATGATATTGGTCAAGAAAGCCTACGTGTTAAACTGACCTTATTACATGTTCGTAACGGCTTTTCGATTACCCCTGTTAAAATGCGCTCGTGTGTGGTCCCTCTGTCATGTGTTGGTTTCTCTCGAGCCCCTTTGAAAAATGAGCTTCGGGTCCTGTGCCACCGCCGCTCGATAAATAGGGACGTCCCTTCGGATGGCCAACACAATAATTAGTAACGCCGTTAATCCTGTCGCACGCTTAATTTTTTTGTCCAAGGAAAGCTTTCGGCGTAGACATCATAGATTCCAGCTCGCGGAACAATTAATCTCCGTGGAGCAGGTTCAATTAACAGGCCCACACATGATCGCAAGCTGTCGGGGGTTGATAAAGATATCTTTATCTGTTCGTAACCATTGCATGTGCCCCATTGTATTTCCCACAGATGGGATTTTTCCCGTGGTTGACCATGAATCGTCATGGTGTACGCGTTAGCGTAGTCCCTGCTTGGATTTGACAGTGACCTTGATATGTTGTAGTCAGCATGAGTACCAACTGTGGGGAAATCTTGACGTTTATCTGAAAATATTAGTTGAAACTGGAGCTATAAATAAATATATAAATCATCATTATGACTAAATATTGCACTGGATATTGAACATTTTGGCCATGTTATCATTGAATTTTAGGACTCCTGCAAATTATCTTAAAAATATGACAGCATATAAAACTAGAGCTCAATTTATTTAATGAAAAAATAATTCCGACGAAATATCTCACTGCAAACTGAACAATTGGGTGTATTTATTGAACGTTTAGAGATCCTAAAATTTTGTGCAAAAACATGCACCTGCAGCTGCGTATATATCTCATTGACACATCATTTTTGGCTCAACATCGCACACCAAATTGAGCCAATTTTGCAGTTTATTAAGCGATGGACTTTCGGAGGACACAATTGAACCCTTTCCCACTCCAAGACGTTTACCGTGGAAGAGTGCCGGTCTTCCTACGCAACGTTTTCCCGTGAGGTCTCACAGGTGTCGGCTGTCTCGTGAGCCGAACGGGCGGGCAGGACATTTAATTAACGATCACAATTCAGCAGATACTTTGACCATTTCTTGCCGGATGGACACGGCGAACAGCGCTGCAGTTGTGTGTTTTTTTTGTGGTCGTGACAAATGACGGCAATTCTCTTGGGTAGTGTTTACAAGAATCTTAACCGTGTATATATCCTTGTCGAGCTGATAATGAAAAATCTTTTATGCTGTCTGATGAAATTATTTGTACGCTTATATTTCCTGTGGATTCCATGGTTTAAATCTCCCCAAGACTCCATTGTACCCTACAAATTACACATTTAGACGTGCACACACACACACTAATCAACATTCACACATCCAATACGTATAGATGCTTGTTACCGAGTCAGTATTGTGGTGCAAATATCGTTGAGTCTATGTGTATAGACTCAACTATATTTATACCAGACATATCCAAAGAGAAACATTTTATAAATTTGAGCCTTCAAAAATGATGGCCAAGAGATTAATTAATTGCATGCGCATGCCAAGCAGGATCAGCTTAAAGTTCTACATCGCTAATGACTCCAACCATCACTGAACCAAGTAATGTACTTATCGTCAAGAAAGTCAGCAGTTAATAGAATACTATTTACTCATAAACAAATCGACATACATAAAAATACAAAGTTCCCCCGTAGTCTTAACGGACTGTTGGGATAAGTGCTGTTAGCGAGCACGAATGAAGGCTGGCACGACACACGAGGGGATGCGGGTGGCCAGCACCACGCCCGGTCGCCTTTGTCTCCCAAGTGGCGATG